GTCGTGTTTCGGTTCCATTTTGAAATCTTCACAACAGAATCGCACCAAATTTACAGGATGTAAACAATACACGTTAAAGTATATTTCGACAATTTTTTGTAATTTATCATCGTATGCAGGATGAGTTATGAGCAAATGAGCAATTCTCTACAGATTGACGAATTTTTTAATTTTTTTTTAATTTGTCGGCTCAGATTTTGATAAAAATTTGCACAGTTGTTCTTTTTTAGTAAAGATGCCAATTTGTGTAATCAGTTCTTCTAATTGAATCACGACTACTTTTCTAACAGGGCCTGTGTAAAAATAGTACTAATGAGTTTAAAAATATATATTGCTTAAACGGTTTGTTGGATTGATTTGGTGTCTTCAGCAAAGTTGTAGATATTATTTTGGCAATAATGTTAAAAATATACACTTTAAAAAATTTCGTTTGTTTCAATGAAAAAAATTATATTTGTTATTAAAAAAGTTAATTTCTCAAAAAGTGCATTTTTGAAAATTTTCGTTTTAAACCTTATTGAAGCTCATAATGTTTGCTACAAACTGGCAAAGTTTGGTGATGGTAAACTGAATGGTAAAAAAGTTAGGATTTCTTGAAAATTTCACGATTTTTACATTTTCATTAAAAATACATGTTTTTCAACCGTGTATATTTTTTCAAGAATCGTATTTTAATTTTGCACAACTTTTTTGAAGACACCATAGTAATCAAGCAAGCCGTTTTTGCAATGTATTAAAATGTTTATTTTATAAGCGATTTTCTACACAGGCCCTATTGGAAAAGTAGTCGGGGTTCGCTACCCCAAAAAGAAGCACCGTGAAATCAACGAAGGTATTAGACAGAATCTTTTCAACTTCGAGCCTGAGGCTGACGAAGTGAATGAACTCAAAGAAGTTTTAGAAAACATGAAGGAAAAGTTTGCCAATGCATCCACTGCAAGAAGTGAAACATTATTAATTTTATCGTTATTGCCTTAGTCATGGTCAACACAAAAAGTTATGGATCAATTTGATGCTAGTAGATATATTGCAACCGAGGCTAAGTTGATAAAGGAAGGTCATTCGTCAAAAACCGCAAAATATGGCACAGCCTTAAGTGATGAAACAAAATTGGCAGTCATAATTTTTTTTGAAGATGATGATATAAGCCGGGCAATGCCTGGTCAAAAAGATTATGTGTCTGTGCAGAAAGAAGGAAAACGACAAGCCATTCAAAAAAGATTACTAATGATGACTTTGAGAGAAGCTTATAAACGATTCAATGAAATTCACTGCAATGTAAAAATTGGATTCTCTTCATTTGCAAAACTCCGCCCTAAGCAATGTAAACTTTTAACCAGCTCTGGAACCCACAATGTTTGCGTCTGCACAACGCATGAAAACATCAATCTAATTTTACACAGTTTGGAAAAACTTAACCATTAAAATGATGTAAAAACGTTCACTGACAGCCTACTTTGTGAAAACAAGACAACATATTGCTATCTACGGTGTTGTGAAGATTGTCCAGACTCTTCCGCATTAGAAAACATTTTATTAAAACAATTAGAGGAAACATGCATTGATCAGCTTTCATTTGAACAGTGGGTTACAACGGATAGATGTGATTTAGAAGCTATTGTAAAGCCTGCAGACGAGTTTGTTTCATTTTTCTGCTTGAAATTGACAAGTTTGATACCACATGATTTCATAAAAACACAGCAATCTAATTTTTTGAAAACTGCACGAAATAATTTGCAAGAAGGTGAATTTTTAGTTACTTGCGATTTTTCCGAAAACTACAGCTTTGTGTTACAGGATGAAGTTCAGTCTCATCACTGGAATGTCTAACAAGCTACCATTCATCCATTTGTTGTATATTTTAGAGAAAATATGCAAGTTAAACATTTAAGTTTTATTATAATTTCTGAAGAGTTAAGGCATGACTCAGTGGCTGTTAACTTATTTATTTCTAAAATGATAAGTTTTTTACGCATTAACCAAAGTAAAAATATCAACAAGATTTATTTTATGTCCGATGGAGCCGCGTCACAGTACAAGAACCGGAAAAATTTTGCTAGCCTTTGTAAATTTAAATCAAAGTATGGAATTGAAGCCGAATGGCATTTCTTTGCAACATCACAAGGGAAAGGTCCTTGTGACGCTATTGGAGGTACAATAAAACGCATAGCTACTAGAGCAAGTTTGGCCAAAGAACGTGAACATCCAATAAAAAAATGCAAGAGAGCTTTATAATTGGGCAAATAATCGAAAAGAAGAAGAATTAACAAAATTATCATTTAGTTTTGCCACAACAGAGGAATACGAATGTATGGCTTCACACCTCAACGAGCAATATAATAATGCAAAAATAATTCAAGGAACTCAAAAGTTTCCTTCTTTCCTGTTTCCTGTTTCAGAAAATAAAATTAAAGCCAAACGTTACTCAAACTGTAATGATAATGATGCCAAAATATTCGATGTATTTAAGAAGTGATGTAAATAAAAATAGAAAGTAAGTGATAATAAATTATGTATCATCTAAAAAAAAGTAAAAAAGAGCAGAAAAATGTATTTTGTGGATTTAAGTTGAAATTTTAAAATAAAAAAGTAGTCGGGATTCGCTATTACAAATTGTAATACCGAACCCCGACTACTTTTCCAATAGGGCCTGTGTAGAAAAGCGCTTATAAAATAAACCTTTTAATACATTGCAAAAACGGCTTGCTTGATTGCTATGGTGTCTTCGGGAAAGTTGTGCAAAGTTAAAATGCGATTCTTGAAAAAATATACACGATTAAAAAACATGTGTTATTAATGAAAATGTAAAAATCGTGAAATTTTCAAGTTGAGTTTACCATTACCAAACTTTGCCAGTTAGTAGCAAACATTATGAGATTCAATGAGGCTTAAAACGAAAATTTTCAAAAATGTACTTTTTGAGAAATTAACTTTTTTAATAATAAATATAATTTTTTTCATTGAAACAAACGAATTTTTTTACAGTGTTTATTTTTTACACAATTGCCAAAATAATATCTACAACTTTGCTCAGAACACCAAATCAATCGAACAAAGCGTTTTGGCAATTTATATTTTTAAACTCATTAGTACTATTTTTACACAGGCCCTTTTCAAAAAGTAGTCGTGATTCAATTTGAAGAACTGATAACACAAATTGGCATCTTTACTAAAAAGGAACAACCGTGCAAAGTTTCAGCGTAATTGGAAATGATCGGTCAGGATCGATTTGCGAACCTTTGTGGAATGCCTCAAATGTAAGTTGTGCAATAATCACGTAATTAATTTAATTTTTTTCTTTATTTACAGAAATATTTATTTATTTACAGAATTATTTATTTATTATAATTATCCACACTTTATTTTAGAATTTATTCATATAGGGGAAATGGATGTAATGTCGGCCTAAATGTCCCTAATTTGGACCCATACATAAATTCAGCAAGTCTATCAGTGACTATGTGAAGAACTATTTTGTCAATATCGCGCGAAAGTCTGTCAATGACAATGACAAATCTCAGCACTGATTATGACATGCAAGTAGAATTGCTCGATGCAGTTGAACTCGATTGGGAAGAGAAAATAAAATTTATATCGCTCGTCTGCTACATGTCGGCGCTTGTATTGTTTTGATAATGACTTCGTCAAAAGATTAACAAAACCCGCAATCTCATTTATAAAATGCTTTGGTAGAATAATTCAACCCACATGATTCGGAAATTGAGAAGAAAATAACGATGAAGCAGGGGATGTAGTAACGACGAGCCACTATCAAATCCCAGACCCAGAACCACCAACTTGAGTCAGGAGGACCTTGATTGGATTCATTCGCTGCAAAACAGGATAATGGACCTATAAGGTGAACTTCAACCCAAACAAGGAAAGGATATAGGAACCCAAACCTAGTCCGAGAATGCTCAGCATCGAGAAGTTTACCAAAATCCCTTTCCTAATTCCTTACCATCTTCTTGGCCACCTCATACCTCATCTTCAATATTCAGTTCATGCAGATTTTGATTTTTACAATCGAAATCAAAGACCTGTTTCGTTAGAAAATCATCCTACCCCGAACAATAGTTTTGCTGTTAAACACAAATCCCCATTCCACAGTTCAGATTCCAAGCCCAGATCCCACCATAGACCACCGTTAGATTTTCGACCACTGAATCCAACAATGCGTCCGCTTCCCAAAGAATACCTTCGGACCTCCCTGTGTTGCCACAAGTCTTTGTTTGCCGATAACACAGGCATTTCTGCTAAAGGAAGAAGTATTATTTGCAGCAGACTGCAAAATGTTTAGATATTTTCTTTTCTTATTTACACAAATGGAAGATTTCTCCCAACGGTTCCAAAAACTCAACTTATAATATTCCCACATAAGCCTGGAGGTTCCTTTTTGAAACCTAGTATTAGTGGTGAAATATCGCGAACTTTTCCAACACTGAGTGGTATAGTCACTATGAAAGAAGTTAAAATTTCTTGATCAAGTCAAGTAAAATATCTGGAACTAGTACTGGATCAAAAATTAAATTTTAAATGTCACATTGAGGGCCAATGTAGAATATATATTAAAAAAAAATTAGTTGGTAGTTTACAGTAGTAGCAGGCGCAACTAGCTTAAAACATGAATGTAATATGATTTGAATTCTGAACAAATTTTAATAAAAAAAAAAACTATTCTGTTTTCTCGTATCTCGTATCCTTGATTAATATATAAAACGCAATGTTCAATCGAACTGCCGTGACGTTTGAATTCAGTCATGTTCGTTTGTGGACATCCTTGAGCAAGTAGCAGCAGAATGATCTCACGACATAAGAGCTTTCGCCGACTGTTTCTTATTTTAGGGAAATATGTGTAATGCTAGGAGACATACTTTTAGGCATATTTTCTACATGTTATCAATACATTCGTTGGATCATCGGTAGTATTCGCAAATCAACAGCCCCACGGGCAAAAATGGCCGATAACAGGCAATGATAAGGGAGTAAATTGTACATACCGTGTAGTAAGACAGAAGCCCAGCATACTCATCTAGCACGAACCAGCGATACTGCCATCCTTTCATAACGTTTGTCCACTTGGAGAGTGTTCCTTCTAGCATTGCCATTGTTACTAGACTTAATAATATTTGTTCTTTCTCAATGATACACAAAATATACCCGACAAAATCACTGAAAACTCACAGAATTTTCGCAGCAAAATACTACGCGATTCACTTGGACAAAAATTACACAAAAACTTGTCACTGGAGAATAAACTGACAGTTGCGGCGAGAAATATCAAGCATTTGTTGTTGTTTGTGTACAAATATACAAAGGCGTGCATTACGGAAGGGTTTCCACATAGTGCTTGGAGTGTAGCTTACATACATGAGAACAAGTGACATTTACGGTGCAATGTGCTATGACATGTTTAAATGGACTGTTAGAAGTAGTGATGCTTTTATTTAACAGTTACTGTAGAGTTCGTTGATATTTGCGTGGGTGAAACATCAAATTGAATAAGGAACACTAGATACATTGCGATAGCAGCAAGTATCTGAAATATAAATCAATCATGTCAACTTCAACTGACTGTATGATATAATATTAATCTATTACGTACAGAAGCAAATAATGGCCAATCGAAACGGAACAAACCACAGGAAAATGATACGTCACGCATTTTGATTTGTAATCCAAGTGTTGATAGCTGAAGGAAGACAAATACAAATACAAATTATTTCTATAACACTAATTTGATGAAAATATAACCTTTTCAATTATTGCATTGCTGAATGACTTCTGTTTGCTTCTAATAATCTCATGTACAATATCTCCGGAAGCGTGCATCACCTCAGTGGTGCTGGACGTTGAGTGAATGATTACCAAAATTGATATAACATAATATATTATCCAAAATCCATTAGCGGCCGCAATCAGTTGAAAACGAATTGATGTTACGTTGAATGCTCTGAAAATGTGAACTCTGATGATCAATATAATTTCATATAAAACTTGTTCAACACATGTACTTGTAGAAAGCAAATAGACCAAAAACTAAAAACAAAAACATGGCTGCGAAGTGAAGCATTAGTTGAAAAGAGTATGTTCGATTGATCAGCACTATACATTCACAAGCCATGTAGTGCAGACTTGATATCTGTTCAATAAACAGTATAACTTCAGAAGAAAGCGAATGATGGCCTATTTTTTGTTGCTTCACTAGATTCCTGAAATAAACTTATCAAACTTGATCGAAATTGAAATATATAGTGTAGTTAACTTACATGTCACTCATTGGACGGCATATCAAGCGTAATTGTTGAAAGAGATTAGTATCATTAATAACAGTTTTAGTAGGATAATGTACGGTTCTAATTTGTTTCTTTTCATCCATTGCTTGTCCATGGATACTGTAAATTTCATTATAAGCAATCGTTGGAGTCTTTACGTCAGGTTCATTTGACTTATTTTTAGTACTGTCGAGAAGCAGTTGCTTCATAATATGGTTCAATATCAAAATTCGATGTTTTACGGTGTATACGAAACATACATACTCCGTTGTGAATATCAATGACGTTATGTTCACGATGTAGTAAGACGTGTAGAACAATGTTGTCTTGATTTGTAACTTAATTGCCACTAGGTAATAATATGCGAGGATCACAACGAGCAGTAATATATTCTCAGCAATAAATATAATGTAAAACCGTCTAAAATGAGACTTGATTTAGAAAATGCCTTTTTAAATTCGGAGACGTACCTAGCCTGATGTGTACCCCTTGAAAGATTAACTTTGAGTGCAATTTTTTTCTCCAGATGTTTAATTTTTATAGGCGATTTAAAATTGCTGCACTTAAAAAAGTGTGGTTATTATTTAAAAAAATAAGCATACACAGCAAAAAAATGTAATATCGATCAACGTAATTCAAGCTGATGTATGAAATAATGATGTAATAGCAAAATGCAGATACAATATTACATCAATGGATGTAATTTTGTTCGCAAAATCGATGTACATTGTACAATGTGATATTACACAACCGATGGATTGGCCTAGTTGCAGCAGTTTCGATGTAATATTCAACAACTTTTTTTGCTGTGTACACTCGCTCAAGGTGCTTGTCACTTGGGAGCCAGTGTGAACTGTCAAGCGGGAGCCAAACATTCAGAAGCAGCAAATGCAGTTACTGTTCTTATCTACCGTCAAGCATTGTAATCTCATAAAATGATCTATACTTTTTCATAACACATTCTTAATTTTAAGCTCAAAGATAAAAACCAGCAGGCTCAGTGATGAAAGTATAAAAACCAGCATAATTTTTATGAGGCAGCTGAGTTTTCAATTACAGTAAAACAATCTTTTGCGAAACATGTATGTAAACAAACTTTGATATGGTCATGGGGTCTCAAGCAATCCTGGCTCAGAGCTTTTGGCGGGAATCAACTGAGAAAGAGCAAACCAGTTTTAAACTTGAGAAAATTGTCAAGCAGTTTTCCATTGGCTTGCAAAATAAAATTGGTCGACTCCGCAGTACCCAGCTATAGACCTAGCAAAGACAAACGGATATATTGGGCCGTATGAATAAAAAGAGTTTACTGTACTTTCCCGTGCTTTTCTTACGGGAAAATTAAAGTAAACGCTTTTATTCATACGTGGGTTCTGAGGACTCAATCGGTTTTATTTTGCAAGCAAATGGAAAACTGCTTGAACATTTTTCCAAGTATCGACATTCAATGTGTTTAGTTTTTTTTTTTCCTTTTGGTTTTGTTTTTTCCGTCGATCTTGTTTTCCGTGCTGAGCACCAATGCTACCGACGTGCCAGGAAGGCAGCTCCCACACCTGGACCCTACCTATCGACCTATCAACTCATGAACCGGGGACCAACGGCTTTACTTCCCATCCGAAGGAAGGCGTGATCAGAGATGTTATGCCTCAGAACATCCCGGCGGCGCCGACTGGTATTGAACCCAGGCCTGTCACGCTTACCACTACACCACCGGCACCGTTATGTTTTGTTGTTGTCATACGATATTTTTACGATTTTCAGAGTTGATTGGAAATGCTATACTAATATCTACATCAAGCTTCAATGTAATAATTTATTATCTAGATAAATTTATGAAGAGGATAGGTTGATAGTTCGGCTAGAGTACGGCAGTGTAAAAATTGTATAGAGATTGCTAAAGTATGACTGTGTCAGTGATTTGTTTTCATCGGGAAAATTTTCCGCTGTGAAGTTTTTTTTCCCGATGAAAACATTTTGCGTATACGTATACGTGACGTAGTGTGCGTACGTTAAACGTCAGCAATCTCTATAGAAGTTGAAATTGAGCGAAGGGCCATTAATGCGACAGCACTAGTCAAACGCACACTCCTCTACCTAACTCATACATTAATGGATTTGGGGACTTGAAGTTTTTCTTCAAATCCACGGGCAAAAGAGTGTGCGTTTGACTTGCTCATATACTGTCTGTAGCTGTGGAATAGTTCTAGTGACATTTATCACTACCTAAAGCCCCAAGTTGCCGAAAGCATTTCCTGGCGATGGCGTGTTATAATGCAATTCTTCTTTACCCATCTATCCCCTTCGCTCAATTTCAACTTCTATTCTGTACTCTGTCGTGTCTTTCCTGATATTTCAAAACTGTCAACCTATCCTCTTCCGAACTTTCTCTAGTTAATAAATTATCATACTAAAGCTTCATATTGATATTAATATAGCATTTCCAACCAACGAATCGAAAGTACAGATTTTTCAAACATCTTCATTTGAATACCGCCAAAAACTCTGAGCGTGTGCTAGTGTCGTTCTGTGATGATTTAGACTTTAGCACATGTTGCTCTGTCATGATTTAGATTTGTAGCAATGTTGCTTGAGATGTCATCCATTTGACAGGTCGTCTGCTCGATTGGAACGACTTTTCCTTACCCGCATAAACAATAACCATAAGAAGCGCCTAACCACTGATTTGGGATATCATTCGAACCAGGGTTGCTTCCACTCACTTGCTATAAAAAGATGTTTTTCGGAATTATGAAATCATGAAATAGTATAATCAACAATCAATAAGAAAACTAACGATTTGAAATTGGCTCACTACTTGACTAGCCTATTGGTCCCAAGCAAATCGATTACGTACCAAATTCTAGTCAAAATTCTAGTACTACACTATGTTTGTTTTGATTCGCTATGAAAGTTTGACAGATAAAATGAGGGGTTAGTGAATTTTCCTATGTTTCGAGGGGTGAATCGATTAGCTTGGGACCGAAGATAGTACCAGAGCTGAACCAAAAAGTTGAGCACGTTTCTTCGGGACCTACTAGCAACAATCAATACGAAAGTAACGATTTTAAATTGGCTCACTTCTTGACTAGCCTATTGGTCCCAAGCAAACGATTAACGTACCCCATTCTAGTCGAAATTCTAGTACTACGCAATGTTTGTTTAGATTCGCTATGAAAGTTTGACAGATAAAATGAGGGGTTATTGGTTTTTCTTATGTTTCGAGGGGTGAATCGATTAGCTTGGAACCGAAGAGAGTACCAGCAACAATCAATACGAAAGTAACGATTAAAAATTGGCTCACCACTTTAGTAGCCTATTGGTCCCAAGCAAACGATTAGAGTACCCTATTCTAGTCGAAATTCTAGTACTACACAATGTTTGTTTTGATTCGCTATGAAAGTTTGACAGATAAAATGAGGGGTTATTGGTTTTTCCTATGTTTCGAGGGGTGAATCGATTAGCTTGGGACCGAAGAGAGTACCAGAGCTGAGCCAAAAAGTTGAGCACGTTATTTCGGGACCTTCTAGTCTTAGAGTTACCTCTATGGTACCAGAGCTGAGCCAAAACGTTGAGCACGTTATTTCGGGACCTTCTAGTCTTAGAGTTACCTCTATGCTACTAGTCTTAGAGTTACCTCTATGGTAAAAGCACCTTCATTATTTTAGCATAGTGTTTTTTTATTTGAACAGAAATAATATCTACCACGCTATGTTATAGAGTAAACGCTTCTATAGTTGCGGTACGTTAGAAGCGTTTGATTTCTATAGTGCTATAGTTCAACTATAGGAACCAAACGGTTCTAACGTATCGCAACTGTAGGAGCGTTTATCCAAAGTTAAATTAATTTCTCTTTGCTATAATCAAGAGTAATCAATAATAAAAACCTGATCTTATCCACCAATTGTTAGATGTGAATTACTAATTTAAATTCCCACGAAAAATTTAATGTGACTATTTGTTCCAGTAGTGTACCTATATTGG